GCTGCTGGAGGGGGCAGGTCCTCCCCCAGGGACCACTGGTGCCTGCTGAGGTAAGGGTGCAGGGACAGGCACCCACAGGAGTAAGGGGCATTTGGGGCATCCTATTTTAAAATGTTAGAAATTTTGTCAGGGGTACAGGAGTTGGTGCCCCCAAATGCTCCAACCAGTCACCTCTGCCCTATGGGGTGGGGGAGCTGCCATTGTATCTCCCCCATGTCCTTCTATATAACTCCTAACCTGTGTGTCTCCTTTCCCAGGCAGGCTGCTCTTGCTCCCCCAGAACAAAGACCTGGTGGGAAAAATACCATCCCCCCTTCACCCCAGCCTTTTTTTATACCATGGATGACTAAACCCATTTGCAAACTTTTGCAAACCTTCCCATCCTGCCCCCACCTCACACATCCCTGTTCTCCTGCCCTTCTTCAGTTCCCTCCCTACCTTGTCCGGGATGGTTCCCTTGCACACGCTGGGAGCAGCTTCCCTCGTGCAGGGATGGAACATGGGGCACATTTCCCCCTTTGGCCAGCAGCACATAGGAGGCAGCCAGGAGAGTCGGTTGCCAAGGGCAGAGGAGGCCAAGGCACAAGAGATGACAGGCCTAAGGCCTCTGACTTGCCCAGACTCATATCAAGGGGCTTTCTATGGTGCCAGGTGGGGGCAGAGGGAGGTGATGCCAAGCCCAGGCCGGTCAGAGAAGGGGCAGTGCCTGCCAGGGCAGAAAGGGGAGCTGCAGAAAGTGAGATGCGGCATTTCTGTCTGGTTTCACTCAAGGGTCCTTCTGTGCGTGAAGCACCTGTGACACCCCTGTGTTGCTGGGTTCTCCTGCCCCTCCCCTGGGAGGCCGTCCCCTTGAGGGGCATGTGCCCTGGCACTCATGGAAGGGCCAAGCTGAGTAAAGCAGCCTGCCTCAGGCACCCTTCCATAGCTCAGCTGGCAGAGCAGAGGACGGTAGCAGGTGCTTAGCAGGTGTCCTTTGGTTGCTGATTTGACTCCAGCTTAAAGGAGAGATTCTTCTCCCTCCCCCTGGCTGCAGGCCTGGCCTTAGGACTAGGTGTATCAGGTAGCTGCCTTGGGTCTGTCCCTTCAGAGCCTGGTGCTACAATTGACAAAAAGATTTTTGGGTACCTGCTGCCAATCAAATGTCTTGGGCTGTGCAGGCCTTGAGACAAGGCAAAAGCTGGAGGGAAATGGCTGCACTTTGGAACAGGAACATGTTCTCTGGTACTATAAAGTAAGACAGTTTTAAAGGCACTTTCAAGGAGGGCACCATGGCTCACTTGGCTAACGTGCCTGCTTAATAAGCAAGCAATCCTGGGTTCAACTCCCAGTGGTGACTTGTTACCAAGCCAGTGTGTCTTTTCTTTCCACCATCCCCCAACATGTATCTGGAGTTGGTTTTACCTTCAGTTGAGCTTGGTGGTGCCCTCACAGTGGGAGTACGATAGTAGCAAAGAGCAGAAGTAGTACCCATGGGTGCAGGTACTCTCTGGGTTTGACTTAGTGAGTCTTGCTAAATCAGACTCTGGAAGATGGACTGCAGCAGCAATTTTCTCAAGTGAAGACATGGCCTAACGATGCAATTAGTTAGATGCCGACATGAACAGTCTCAGAGAGGCTACCTCTACACTAGGGCTATGACGACATTGGCAAGATTTTGCAAAATCTTACCACCTGTCTACACTGGCCACGAGTATTTGCGCAAGAACACTGACGTTCTCATGTATAAAATCAGTGCTTCTTGCACAAATACGCTGACGCTCCCACTCAGGGATAAGCCCTCTTGCGCAACTGTTCTTGCACAAAAGGCCAGTGTAGACAGGCAACGTTAATTTCTTGCACAAGAAAGCCCGATGGCTAAAATGGCCATCGGAGCTTTCTTGCACAAGAGAGCGTCTACACTGGCACAGATGCTTTTGCAAAAAGCACATCTCTTGCGCAAAAGCACACGCCAGTGTAGACGCTCTCTTGTGCAAATGCTTTAACGCAAAAACTCTTGCGTTAAAAGTATTTGCACAAAATCATGCCAGTGTAGACATAGCCCAGAAGTTTTCTCTGCAAAAAATATGTTAATGAGAGACTCAATTCCATGAGTCATAATTTCATCTGCATACTTTCTACCAATGGGATTTTTGTGCAAAAACAAGTGCTGTGGACACTTTCTTTTTGCACAAAACTCCCTTTTCCCACAAGATCCTTATCCCCCCAAAAAAGGGTATACAGATTTTATGGGAAAAAGGTAAGTGTGTGTGTGTGCGCGCGCAAAAAGAAAACTTCCACACTGCTTGTTTTTGCATAAAAATCCAAGTGCAAAACCAGATTGGCAGAAAATATGCAAATGAGATCATGACTCATGCAAATGAGTCCCTCATTAGTATATTTTTTGCCAAGAAAACTCATAGTGTAGACATAGCCAGAGACTCTAGTGCTGATCATGCAATAGAAGCACATTATGTTTAAACAGCTGCCATATGAATGTTCCTCAAAGTCATAAGGATCGATGATCTATGTCAAACGCAGGTGGGCAATAATTAGAGCTCCATGTATGTTGTGTGCACAAAGGAAGGTAGGAATGTGCAGCAGGCAGTCTGATATCAGTGTTTACTGTATGTTTGTAACAGGCTCCTACCTATCTCCAGTAGATTTGGATAACTCCTCCACCAATTGTAATACACACTAGGACATTCCTCCCCAGCTGGGTGTGGTTCTTGTTCTTCTGCACAGCACAGCCCATGGAGACCAAGGACCTGCCAATGGGCATCCAAATCACACCGCTGTTGAATGGATGGAAACAGAAACCAGCAACACAGTGGGTTTGAACTGGTTCCAGCTGAGGGATGGGTTTGCCTGGTTTATGTGCATTGGCACAGGAAGGCAGTGGGGGTTTCATATTCATTTAAAGAATCCAAACAATAGACCTCCAGAATAAAATGGGATTGGAGAGATAAATGCTCACATTTAAAGGCCATTCACCCCAAAGAGCACTTGGATTTGAACCAAGGACCACTTGAGATGTAGTCAAAGACTCTACCTCTAAGCTACACCCCCCCACTGGCAAGCTTGCGTTTACATCCACTGCTGGGCACGGGGCAGGGAACAAGAGGGTTTTCTATAATACACATCTCAGGTGGGATGGACTCTCACAGACCCCAGCTAGTGACTGGTCCTAACAAGGGATTTGCTCCAAAAGCAGCAGAGCAGGGGCAGGACAGAGAGGCCTGAGAGATGAAGTGGCTGGAGGGAAGCCAGGAGAGCAGAGGCCAGCCTGATAGCTGAGTCCCAGGTGACCAAGACACCAACTGTAGGTGCCTTAGGGGGAAAAATGCTGCTGCCACTTCTGTCTCTCACTGACATTCATGGATGTTCTTTTCTGCTGCCTGGTCTCTGTTCCCCTGGGCCAGTCTCCATCTCTTCTGCCTCTGTCAGACAGTGGGAGGCTGCTGGAGCCCAGCAACTTTCTGCCCACCCAGGACTAGCATTTGGGGAGTCCAAGTAGAGAGAGGGAAGGGCCAGATGAGGCACTTAGCCCGCTATGTCCAGGGGGAGGTGGCTCAGCTGCTGAAAGCATTTATGGTTTTCCTATCAGTTGGGCAGGGCCCTGTGATCTATGTTTACATCTGCGTTTGTAGCCTACATTGCCTTCTCCAGGACTATGTTTACACTGCACTGGTGTTGCCCAAGAAATATGCAAATGAGGCTAAGCATGGACTACTGACCCACCTCCTTTGCATACCTAAGGAGCTGCTATCTTTGTGCATGAGCTTTTGCACAAGAAGGAACTGTCTACGCAACCCCTTCTTGTGCAAAAAAAACCCCTCTTGTGCAAAGCCGATCCGCCACATTTTCAGGGAGAACGGTCTTGGACAAGAGGGGTTTTTTTGTGCAAGAAGGGGCAATGTGGACAGCTCCATCTTGCGCAAAAGCCCATGCGGCAAAAATGGCACCTCATTAGGTATGCAAATGAGGCATGGGAATATTCCATGGAGAGGTATCACTAGCAGTGTTCCCCCAGGGTCAGTCCTAGGACCAATCCTATTCAACTTTATTAATAAACGATTTAGAAAAAGGGGTGAGCAGTGAGGTAGTAAAGTTTGTGAACGATACTAAACTGTTCAAGATAGTCAAGACCAAAGCAGGCTGTGAAGAACTTCAAAAAGATCTCACCAAACTGAGTGACTCGGCAACAAAATGGCAAATGAAATGTAATGTGGAGAAGTGTAAAGTTGTGCATATTGGAAAAAATAACCCCAACTATACATACAAATATGATGGGGGCTAATTTAGCTGCAACTAATCAGGAAAGAGATCTTGAAGTTATCATGGATAGTTCTCTGAAAACATCCACACAGTGTGCAGTAGCAGTCAAAAAAGCAAATAGGATGCTAGTAATTATTAAAAAAGGGACAGAAAATAAGATGAAGAATATCTTACTGCCCCTATATAAAACTATACTACGTTCACATCTTAAATATTGAGTACAGATGTGGCCTCCTCACCTCAAAAAAGATATTTTGGCATTAAAAAAGGTTCAGAAAAGAGCAACTAAAATGATTAGGGGTTTGGAATGTGTCCCATATTAGGAGAGGCTAAAGAGATTGGGACTTCTCAGTTTAGAAAAGAGGAGACTGAGGGGGGATATGATAGAGGTATATAAAATCATTAGTTGTGTGGAGAGGATGAATAAAGAAAAGCTATTTACCTGTTCCCATAATATAAGAACTAGAGGACATCAAAACTAATAAAAGAAAGCTCTTCTTCACACACTGCACAGTCAACCTGTGGAACTCCTTGCAAGAGGATGCTGTGAAGGCTACGACTATAACAGTTTAAAAAAGAGCTAGATAAATTCATGGAGATTAGGTCCATAAAAGGATATTAGCCAGGGGGTAAGGAGTGGTGCCACTGACCTCTATTTGTCAAAGGCTGGAGAAGGATGACAGGAGACAAATTGCTTGATCATTGGCTTCGGTCCACCCCCTCTGGGGCACATGGTACTGTCCACTGTCAAAAGACAGGATACTAGGATAGATGGACCTTTGGTCTGACCCAGTACGGCCATTCTTATGTCCTTATGTTAAAGTTTGACCTGTGTTTGAAGCCTTTTCTGCAATCAGAGTTGTTATAAGGCGACTCTCTTGTATGTTTTATCTGATGGTTAGTAAGGTAGGAGCATGGACTGTAGCTTTCCCTGCAGTCAGAGCAGGTGAAGGATATCTCTCATGTGGGTTTTCCTATGTCTAATAAGGTGCGAGCTGCGATTGAATCTTTTCCCACAGTCAGAGCAATTGAAAGGTTTCTCCCCTGTGTGGGTCCTCCGATGGGTAACAAGCTCTGAACTTGTACTGAAACTTTTCTCGCAGTCAGAGCAATGGAAAGGTTTCTCTCCTGTGTGAGTTCTCCTATGTCTAACAAGGGGTGACTTCCCACTGAAGCTTTTCCCACAGTCAAAGCAACTGAAAGGTTTCTCTCCTGTGTGGGACCTCCTATGGGTAACAAGGTGTGACCTGCGACTGAAGCTTTTCCCACAGTTAGAGCAACTGAACGGTTTGTCTCCTGTGTGGGTCCTCCTATGGGTAACAAGGTGTGAGCTGCGACTGAAGCTTTTCTCACAATCAGAGAAATTGAAAGGTTTCTCTCCTGTGTGGGTCCTCCTATGTCTAACAAGGTGTGTGCTTCTACTGAAGCTTTTCCCACAGTCAGAGCAATTGAAAGGTTTCTCTCCTGTGTGGGTCCTTCTATGGGTAACAAGGTGTTCACTTTTACTGAAGCTTTTCCCAGAGTCAGAGCACGTGAAGAGCTTCTCTCCTGTGTGGGCTCTTTGATGTTCAATAGGAGCTTCACAGTCACTACAAGTGCAGGGTGACTGTTGATGGGGGATTTTCTGTTGAACGGTTTCTGTGTTTCTTTTCTCCCCTCTACTACTGTGACTGAAGTTACCCTGTCCCTCTCCTGGATGGTTTTCATGCTGCCTTTCTAAGCTATGCTGCCTCTCACAAGTCTCTCCCTGCTCACGTATCTGGGAAACATGCCCTTCAGGTCTTCCCAGTAACATCCCATCCATCACCTGTTGGGATAGAGAAATAATCCAGACAGAAGTTATTGTCTCTGATGAGCTAAATGAAAACTCTGAAAGAGGAATAGAAAAGGAAATACGCACTCAAATAATGATTAAAATATCATGAACTGAGTTCATCCTCCTTCACAACTCTTCCACAGAGGAGAGAACCTGGTCTTTCCCCACCCACCACACTCTGGCTTGAGTTGAAGACAGGCTGAAGAGTGAGACAGACTTCATGAAAACACCTGCTGTAAACTGGTTTCTGAGTCAGTTTAACTGATTGCTTACCTGTGTGGGTGTTGCTGATGATCTCTCCTTTCTCATAGCTCTGGGGATCTGGGACCTGCAACTCCTCCTCTCACTCCACCCAGGAGATCACGTGAGCTTCAGAGACTAGAAATCCTGTTTGGAGAGTAATTAATCAAGTGCTGATCTTGTTCATTAAGGTCTGTGTCATTACTGCTTCCAGAGCCAGGATCTGAGTCACCCACCCAGAGAGGCTCCTTTCCCCATCTTGCAGAGTCTGGGATCTGGCTGGTACAAGAGCCCAGGACACACTCACCTGCAGTAAAGGTGCATCCCCCACCCCACCACCTTGGTTTCCCAGTCTGCCTCTTGTGGCGAGCCTGGCCTTTGATTTGGGGCCTCTTCAGGGAGGCACAGAATCTACCACATTTCCACCTTGTGAATGTGTTCCCCTCAGCTTTATCTCCACCCCTTCTTGGACCTGCATTTAGTGTTTGGAAGATCCACCTGTGACGTGACCATGGAGATCATTGTGCTATCACTGTTACACAATCTCAAGAAACCTTGTGCGAAGCATGCTGTGTGCCGAGTCAATGGGAAAATTCTGATCTGATGTCTATGATTATCTTGTTTATGTCCATTATTTTTTAACTAAGACAGGCCAGGCTTTGGCAGAATGGTGGAGCACTGGGTACCAACTAATCAGGTAATCACATTCCTGGGCAGGAGGAGGGCAGTCAACACAACACTCTCTGCAGCAACTGCAAACACACAATCCTAACAGATAGCTCACTGACCCTTGTGCACAAGAGCGGGATGAGGGGATAATGGATACGGACGTTTTATTCAAACAAACAGGCAGGAGGCTAAGAGGGTAGAACACATGGAATGCAACATGCATCTTGTTTGTGTCAATGTGAGAGGAGAAGTCACAGGAGGGGCATGTTGATGCTGGCTGAGGGGCAGTGTTCTGGCTGCTGACTGAGCTGGTACCATTATTGGGTTGGGACAAGTCTCACTATACCTGTGCCTGAGGAGCTGGGACACTAGCACCCTGCTCCTTTCACAATAAACCTGGCCGAGTGCCTTTGCCTCTGAATGGTGCCTGGGTCTTTCTTAGCGGCAACCCTGTGATGTGCTGCATGGATAAGCTGCATGCTCTGCCAGTGCCGCTAGCATCAGAGTTCCAGAAAGAGCTGCCCTGAACAGCCGTAACAACACTCTGTGGAACTAGCAGCAATTCATATGACACTGCAGTCACTATAGAAAGCAAAATTACCAATCACAGCAGCATCTGGGAACTCTGGTGTAAATCAGAACCCCACTGTGCTATTGGGGTGCTCATATGGAGTTAAGCATCACCCCTCTTTAGTTTAGGTATCCTTCCCAGCCCTGAGAAACAGGGACACACTATAATAGGTATTAAGAAGAGAGGTGACTACACAGAGAGTCTAAGGGACTTGATCAAGGTCACATAGGAAGTCTGAGACGGGCAGAGAACTGAGCACAGGTCTCCTGAGCTTGAAGCCAGACGTTCACGCCAGAAGAAAAAGTTCCTACCTGAAGATATTTCACTCTAAAAAGACAAGACTGATGACGTGATTTATCTCCATTGCACACAGAGGCAAGTGAGCCCCAGAGAGAATGAAGCTGAACTTATGAAAGGAGACCCAGCCTTTGCCTAAAATGCAAGGAGAGCTCTGCTCACGTTCTCTTCTACAGAGCTACCTTGGACAAAATACTCACAGAGCGTGAACTGTCCCATCCACCCTCCCTCAGCGCCAGCATCCAGCTCCTCCCATTGGCAAGAACAGCATGTCACAGAGATTAGCTACAGGCAGGGAAGAACTCTGGGAACCGCGCACATCTTCCAGTGGCTGCGCACACTGCCACAAGGGAACCATGCAGCCACTAATAGCAGCCAGACCCAGACCTCTGGTACCTCCTGTTCCTGCCTGAGTCCTTCCACTCACATCTCTGGACAAGGCACAAGATGGGCAAGATAGGGAAGAAGTGCAGTGAGACCTTAGCTGTGGGAAGAGCAGCACCATTGTTATCTCCCTGAACATGCTTTCCCTGAGAGGGGACACGGAGGAGACAGTCTTTCACACAAGAGCCAGGATTATTATGGCAGATATTCCTGACATTGGGGGCAGAGGCAATGAATAACGCTGAACCAAACCCAGTCCAGCTACTCCAGCGCCCGCCCAGCTTCTGTTACCCAAGGGAACAAGAGTCCTTACTCAGCCGGTTCACAGCCTCATAATTCTCCTGCATCACATCCCTGTAGAGAGCTCTCTGGCCCGGGTCCAGCAGAGCCCATTCCTCCTCAGAGAAATACACAGCCACCTCCTCGAAGCTCACTGGCTCTGCCAGGGCCATTTCCTGTCCCTGGCTCTGCAGGCCAGGGGCTGAGCTGGAGACAGACATGGGTTTTCTGCAGCCTGGCAGGGAGAGAAGGGGAATTGGAGACAATTCAGAAAGGGCTTTAATCCTTTCCACATCCCCATTCTTCCCACACTCTGTCCCTTGTGACACATGCTAGACTCTGTCATTGTGGGCAAAAGTTTTAGTCTAGAAATTCCATAAACAGCGCACAGGAGTTAGATCCCAAATCCATATTCATTTCTGTCTGTACCTGGCTTGAGTTACAACATTACTGCGTCCGCAATAGTGGGATTTAGTTCTCAGCACGCAGTGTTTCTGATAACAAGCCACATATTCACCTGCCTGACCATGGCCATAGGTTAAATGTAGGCTGCTGTATTTAAACCCCTTAGTCTTCGTTCATTGATTTGCAGGACAAACTTTGCTCTCTCATCTGACAAGAGACATTAAAAAGCCTTTCCACAACAGACTCAGTGAAGTTACCACCATCATCCAGTTACCTAGGCACAAAGCTCTGTTTTCCCACAGTATATTTTCTAGAAAGTCCCCCAGTGATTTGAAGACATCAAGAGATGGAGAATCCATCAGTTCTTTGTTCGTTTGTTTCAGCAGCTAATCCACTTCCCTATCAAACATTTGCGCCTCTTTTCTAGTCTCAAATAGTCTGGCTTCAAGCTTTCACATATTGGCTCTCACTGAGCCGTATCCTCTCGACAGAGTGGGCAATACATTTTGAGGGGTAGCCAAATGGAATGTGGCTGAGAGCTGCACTCTTCCATGACATTAATGCAGGAAATGCAGGGTCAGGTATGGACGTTGGGAGAAGGAAGCTTGGGGTAAGGTTTTGGGATGCAGGAAGGATAGAGGGGTCTAGGAGGGAGTTTGGGTGAAGGAGGCAGGCCGTGATCTAGGACACTGAATTAGCCAACTATTCGTTAGATATTTAAAGTAACAGAGTGGTAGCCATGTTAGTTTGAATCTGCAAAAGCAAGAAGAATTCCTGTAGCACTTTATAGACTAACAGATGTATTGGAGCATAAGCTTTCGTGGGCAAAGACCCACTTCATCAAATGCATGACCTGACACTGGAGGCAGAGGCAAGGATACCTTAAATATCTAAAGTAACTTTAATTTAGAGAAGTGACTTAGTGGACAAATAAGGGGCTGTGTGTTCCTGAGCACTGAGTGCTCTTGTGTGGATAAATCCCTATAATATTAACACTCTCATATAACTTTGTATTAAGAAAAAATGTCTTTTGAGCTCTCCCCTTTCCTTGATTGTCCTGTTGAAATGAATGAGGTGTGAATGGAGAATGAAAGCTGAGCACCTCCAGCAGCAGTCACAAGGGTGGAGAAGGTCTGGGAGCCAGATCCAAGACAACACCTGTAAAGTGAGCTCATTAAGAAGACTGGACATACAGAGGCCTTGGGAGTCAAGCAGCAAGTGCCTGCCCTTGGAAGCTCTCTGAAGCAGCATTAAGAAAGGTGAGGTGATGACTAATGATGGCTGCATGACAGGGATAAATATGAGGCATCTTGCAGAGGGATCCTGGGTTTTAAAGTCTTGTCAACGCAGGAGCATCGATCTGGATCGGCAGAAGCCTGGCTCCACTCCTCCCCCATCTAACTCACCTGGCCAGTGCAGTTAGGGGAAGCAACTTTTGGTAACAACAAGACAGCGTGTGCGTGCGTGCGAGAGAGAGAGTGCATGAGTGTAACGTATCATATGCATATGATAAATATTGGTTGATCTATGTATGTTCAATAAATGTGGCATGTTGCCTTTTCCCCCTGAAAAAGATCCCGGGTCCTTCTTAAGCACAACACTTGTATATATAGCTGCAGGAGGAGGACAGAGTTTGAGTATGCAGAGCCTCTCACAGGCTGCAGGGCCACGTGGGTGTGTGAATAATTATGATCCAGAGGGGAAGGGGAGCGGTGCTTTGTTTCTGGCCAGAAATCAGCCAATGAGATTGTCCTGGGGGCAGAAACAGCTCCTAAAGCCTTCCCCCCTCCCCTCCAGGTCCATAGTCACTTTCTGAGTGACTTGCAGATGGGGAGTGGCATCCATGGGCTGGATCCAATGGCTTGGTGGGGTGGATCCGGCCAATGAGCTGTATTTGGCCCAGGCCTGCACTAGACTTAACAGCCCTTGGGGATCCAGCAGTTTCTTGCCTTGAACAAACTGATACCGTGGAAGCCAGTCAGCTCTCAGCCTTTCAGCCTATTTATTGTTTGAAACCAACTCCATATTGAAACTGACTGAGCAGTGAAAGTGAAATCTCAGGCTGAAGGTGCCGTCCGTTGTGTGCTTTATCTTCACCCCTTTAGCATCACAAACCCATAGGCAATCTCCATTATATTGGTCTATCTCCTAGAACTGGAAGGGACCTTTGAAAGGTCATTGAGTCCAGTTCCATGCCTTCACAGCAGGACCAAGTACCGTCCCTGACAGATTTTTGCCCCAAAATCCTAAACAGCCTCCTCAAAGATTGAACTCACAGCCCTGGGTTTAGCAAGCCAACGATCAAACCACTGAGCTATCACTCCCTCGGTATTGCTCCAGGTGTTCATATGTCCCCCTGCAGTGCCCCTGGGTCTCCTCACTGATCAGTGGGTGAGATTTAGGGCTGTGTGCACCGTGGTCGCTCGGTTTGGTTAGCAACTTCAATAACAATCCCATGAAGATGTTTTCAACAGGAATTTTCTCAGCATTTAAAGACTTTCCACCTACAAACTCACCCTGTCTGAAAGCTCCCAGGGATTTTCTTGTGGCTCTCTCCAGTGCAGAGGGCAGAGTGTCTGGATGGGGAAGGGATAAGAGAGGTGAGATTCCAGGCTCTCTTATTTATTACACTGTCCCACTCTGTACTCTGCATTTCAATTGTATCAGAGACCAGACAGAGGGACAGTCACAAACTGAGTATGAAAGAGTCTGAAACTTTCATTTCTTCTCTCACTCGGGCACCTCCCAGCAATGGAGCCAACATCCCCGCAACCTCACACCCATCCCAGGAGAGACAAGCTGTAAATGAGATTTACTCTTCCCTCCCCAACCCCTCCCACTTGGTTTCTCATTCACTTACTGCCTCTTATCATAACCTGGACCTGTGGTGGTGGGACACATGGCCATCACAGTAACTGTAACCATTTTGATCTCTGAATGGGAGGTTCAGAGTTTGCAAACCCCTGGCTTTATCTGCAAGCAGTTGGGTCTGTTCGCTCAGTGTCTCTAAGGAGAGCAGAGTGATGGGGCCATCATTCTCTATCTGTGAATTGAGGCAAGGGAAGGTTGGCTTCAGAGGCCAGATTCAATAGTCTCAGATACTTGAATCACTTTCCCTTCCTACATCCCTTCTAGGTACCTTTGAATTCCATCAATGTCTCCGACAGCGCAATCGTTTTCTGGGAGAAACCTCTGACTTGTTCTTCCAGTGCAGGGGAAATCTCCTCTGGCAGCTGGAATTGCCCCATCTCACATCTGGACAGAAACAATTCCATGTGATTGTATTTGATTTACTGCTGATAAGTTCTGGCTAGTGAGTCTCAGCTCTAACAGGCCTGGAGGTGGAATTCCTCCAATTCTCACAGCCTGAGGGCAACACATCCCATGGCCATACAACACTTCCCATTGCTGTTCTTCACCTCTGGCCTGGGGACACTGGCTGGGGGTCTAAAGGGGAATTGAGTCTCCATGGCCAACTCACTCCTTGGCCTCCAGGCACTGAGAGACAGGAGGTTCCCAGGTGAAGGGCTGAAGGAATCTGTCCACTAGGGACTAGACTGAGACACCAGGTCCCCCCTCCCCAGCTCCTTCCACACAGGTCTCCAAACAGCCCTCGGATGAGACAGACTCTTGGTCCCTGCTGTTCTGGGCTAAATAGCTCCCAGTGACCAACAGACCCATGTTCCACCCAGACACCTGAGGCAGCCAATTCCCCCAGGGAGGTGACAGCACGAGGAAATACTTGAGGTCAAACTGTGCCCTGAATGGAGAATTCCAGAGTCTGCTGTGCGAGGATCAGACCCTCAGAATTAAATGAGTCATAGATATTCATATCTAACATCTGGCTGTAGAGCCCTGGGGAGATGTGGTGCTAACATCAGCTCCAAGCCCTTTCCCCACTCTGTGTAGTGTAAGGGGAAAAAGAGCCACCTACCTACTCAGGGTGCTTCTGACGTCCTAGAAAAAAGAGATAGAAAAGAATCTCAGCCCCATTGGACACACACAGAGGATGTCAGGGAAGGGATTTTGCAAACCTGGGACCTCAGGGAAGGGATTTTGCAAACATGGGAAGAGAGGCCCTGCCCTGGCCCCAGGGTCATGGACCCCAAGCGAATGGGGCTTTGCCATCTCTAATAGCTCTGTGCCTGTGATTCTACAAAGCACAACAGTCACTCACATGGCAGCAATGCACACGGAGTTACACTGAGATCTGATGGCTGGACCCCAGCGCTTGTGATCAGTAGCCTCCCTTCCCTCTGGGGGGAGCTGGGATGTTTCTCCCTCAGTCTCACCTGCAGGAATTCACTCCCTAGCTTCTGCAACGTCCTCTCCAGCTCACTGATCCACTTGCTGAGATGGGAAATCTGCATGGAGAATCTCCTGACAATCTCCTCATCCAGCTTCTGCAGCTGGGCCAGCAGGAGTTGTTCCTGCAGGAGCTGCGGCAGCTGCTGAAACTCAGCCACAATCATTTGCCTCTCTGTTTTGGTCCATTTCTGTATGAAAACAGGGAAAGTGCTGGTCAGGGACATGGATGGAGCCTGGGGCCCTTTCATGGACAGCTGAGTGTGCAGCAGGGAGAACTTATTGAAAATCCCTAAACTTTGTGATATTTGATTCTACTCTTTGGGTATTAGGCAGAGACGTCTCTTCCAGCATCTCCTTTGGCCCCTGTGTCCCTCTGAAAGGGATGACTCCATGTCTGTCATGGGCAGCATGTTCTGTTTTTCATGGGCACTGGGAATTTCAGACTCAGAGCAGCAGGAGGCAGGACCCAGCACCAGCTTGACAGAGATACCCAGGGAGGAAAAAGAAGCAAACATGTTAATGCACCAAGTGAGCAGACAGACCTTCACAGGGACAACTGACATCTTTGAGGAGGATTTCTGGGAAAGTCACAAGGACTGGACATTAACCATCAATTGACACGGAAGCTCAGGGCCTGTCTACACATGGATCCAACCCAGCAATCTATGATCCAGGAGAAACACAAACAAGCCCAACCTCAACAAGGCCACACAGGAGTCTGCCTGCTAACAGTCTCCCACTGCCAGTCTCTTCTGGTTCCTAGCCACAGGCACCTACCTGATACTTCTGGCTTTTCCCCTCTGCTGTCATTTTCCTTCCAGCAGCTTTTCTCTCTCTTCCCTCAGAGTCTTCAAATGGGCCTCCAATTTTTCCTGAAGAAACAGAAATAAGCACAATGAGAAACCCATGAGATGTCTGGAGCCCATTTGTCTACCTCTTAGGGTATGTCTACACTACCCCGCTAGTGAGAACTAGCAGGGTAATGTATGCATACCGAACGTGCAAATGAAGCCCGGGATTTGAATTTCCCGGGCTTTATTTGCTTAAGCCGGCCGGCACCATTTTTAAATGCCGGCTTGTTCGAACCCCGTGCCGCGCGGCTACACGCGGCACGGGCTAGATAGTTCGGACTAGCAAGCCATTCCGAACTATCTGTACGCATCGAGGCACGGGGTTCGAACAAGCCGGCATTTAAAAATGGCGCCGGCCGGCTTAAGCAAATAAAGCCCGGGAAATTCAAATCCCGGGCTTCATTTGCACGTTCGGTATGCATACATTATCCTGCTAGTTCGCACTAGCGGGGTAGTGTAGACATATCCTAAGATAGTCCCAGTTTTCTGGAGCTCTGTCTCTGTCCAGCAGGGACTCAGTCCTGGACGTTGCTTTGTCCATTGAAAAAGGGACAGGAGGAGACTGTGGATGCAGCAGGATGCCTGTGAGGGTGGGGGATGGATCGGTGGTAGCACCTTCATAAAGAATGATGTAAGTGGGGATGAGGGAGGTTAAAAGGGTTAAAAATATTTATCATGTAACCAATTACAAGTTAATCAGTTACAGTATTTTTTAACCCACTGACAGATAAGGTCAGTAATAGGCATGGGCTCTCCTAGGGGCAGGGCTTTTTTGTGGGGTCTGGCCACCAAGACTGCCGGCAGGTGAGGAGTCCCAGCAGCTGCAGATTGACATTCGCTGCTGGGGCAAGCGGGCACTACCAGGGACAGTGGGAAGTTTAACCGATAACTGGCACCAATAAGTATTAGCTCATCAGTTAACCAGTTTGAACTCTTGCTACTACCCAGTCAAATACCAGTGGTGCCTGTCATGGCCTTCGCTGCCTGGAACCCTGCTATGGGTGGAGTCAAGGCACTTGGGGCCTTACACAGCATCCAGTCCAGTGATCTCCTATAGTGCTGGCTGCCATATCTGACTGTAACCCCTCATACAGCAGCCCAGGCGTTCAGTATCTCAGTAGGAAACCTCCTCTCCCTGCTGGGCCTGGGGCCTGTAGCAAGGCATCTTTCCTGCCTAAGGGTGACACTTCACAGATAGGTGGGGGGAATGCAGCCTAGTGGTTAGTGCAGACTTGGAGAAAGCAGTGGTTGTGGCTATACTCTGTCAGGGTATGTCTACACTACAAAGTTAATTCAAACTAACGGACGTTAATTCGAATTAACTTTGTTAGGCGCTACACAAGCGCTCCGCTAGTTCGAACTTAATTCGAACTAGTGGAGCACTTAGTTCGAACTAGGTAAACCTCATTCTACGAGGACTAAGCCTAGATCGAACTTACTAGTTCGAATTAAGGGGTGTGTAGCCCCTTAATTCGAACTAGTGGGAGGCTAGCCCTCCCCAGCTTTCCCTGGTGGCCACTTTGGCCAACACCAGTGAAACTCTACTGCCCCCTCCCGGCCCCGGACTCCTTAAAGGGGCACAGCCTGGCTACGATGCCCGTGCCAGGTGCAAGCCTGCCAGCACCCAGCCAGCAGACCCTGCACCTGGCCCGGCCCCCG